TCTTTGGCAAAATCTGGATGAACTTGGTTTTCCTGCAGTTTCTTGTAGCATTTTTGCAGTGTGTGGAATATGAATTTGGTGAACCCCTGGTTATTAAGTTATTAAGGATTCATCATACCCCTACAACTCACAATCCCCATGCAGACCCTGTGGCTGATATGAAAGATACCTCCATTGTTGCATGCTTTCCTGCTCAAAGTCATGCCAGGAAGACACACAAGTTAAACAACCTAGAACTCTTTTTTTTTTTTAACTTTTATTTAATGAATATAAATTTCCAAAGTACGGCTTATGGATTACAATGGCTTCCCCCCCATAACGTCCCTCCCACCCGCAACCCTCCCCTTTCCCACTTCCTCTCCCCTTCCATTCACATCAAGATTCATTTTCGATTATCTTAATATACAGAAGATCAGCTTAGTATACATTAAGTAAGGATTTCAACAGTTTGCTCTCACACAGAAACATAAAGTGAAAAATAATAGATGATTTTTTTTAAATGATGATGAAATCAGATCAGACCTATTGTCATGTTTAATCCCAGTGAGAGTCAAGTTGGGAATTGATAATTTCTTTTTTTTTTTTTACAGAGGATCAGTTTAGTATGCATTAAGTAAAGATTTCAACAGTTTGCACCCCCATAGAAACACAAAGTGAAATATATTGTTTGAGTACTCGTTATAGCATTAAATCTCAATACACAGCACATTAAGGACAGAGATCCTACATGAGGAGTAAGTGCACAGTGACTCCTGTTGTTGACTTTACCAATTGACACTCCTGTCTATGGCATCAGTAGTCTCCCTATGCTCCGGTCATGAGTTTCCAAGGCTATGGAAGCCCTCTGAGTTCTCCGATTCTTATCTTGTTTAGACAAGGTCATAGTCAAAGTGGAGGTTCTCTCCTCCCTTCAGAGAAAGGTACCTCCTTCTTTGAAGACCTGTTCTTTCCACTGGGATCTCCCTCGCAGAGATCTTTTGCCAGAGTGTCTTGGCTTTCCATGCCTGAAATACTCTCATGGGCTTTTCAGCCAGATCCGAATGCCTTTAGGGCTGATTCTGAGGCCAGAGTGCTGTTTAGGACATCTGCCATTCTATGAGTCTGCTGAGTATCTCACTTCCCATGTTGGATCACTCTCCCCTTTATTTATTCCATTGGTTAGTGTTAGCAGGTACTAGACTTGTTTATGTGCTCCCTTTGACTCTTAGTCCTTTCATTATGATCAATTGTGAACTGAAATTGATCACTTGGACTAGTGAGATGGCATTGGTACATGCCACCTTGATGGGATTGAATTGGAATCCCCTGGTATGTTTTTAACAAGTTAAACAACCTAGAACTCTTATATCACTCCTAGGAATGCAAATGGGTACCATCACCATGAGAAACATGTTTGTTTGGCAGTGCCTACTAATGCTAGATGTGTTTACCCATGACCCAGCATTTCTCTGGTTAGATCATCAAAACAAGTATTTTTGAACATTTAAAGATATATAAGAATATCAGCCACTGTATTGTAATAGCCTTACTGGAAACAACCAAAATATTCATCAACAGTAGAGTATGACACAAGAATGAAAAATAACATACTACAAATATTCTCAACAATATGGAAAATATCAGAGAAAATGTACCACCCTACCGCATCACTCACCCACTCAGGATCTATAGAAGCTTCAGATTGTCTTCCTTGTGAAACACAAACATGTTTTTACCATGCCAGGTCCGAGCTAATAAACTTCATCCCTTGCTCCACCCCATGAAGGTCCCTCCCCTCCTGCCAGGGGAAGATCTCCTAAGCTAGTCTTGCTTACTTGCATTCTTTGGAGTCAAGTGGACTTGACTTTTATTTTCAAGTAATTCTAATACTTACACATTGTGTGATCTCAATCTTAGGCTCCTCTTCCCAAAGAGATCAAATTAAGTTTTAAATTAATAGAGAAGATTCAATTTTTTCAGATGCACGACAGAGCACTTAGCACAGTGTCTGGCACAAAGGACTCCCCACCACCAGTGATTCATTTCCGTTTATTTGCCTCTCTTCTCAGTCATCTTCTAGCTCAGAATTACCACTTCCCAGCAACTACCACATAAGCTGTCCCTTAAGAGACCTGACAAAACCTACTCTCTACCCATTTTGATTTCCATATAATTTGCACCATCTATAGTCTGAACTAACTACAAAACTGTACCATCTTTTAGCTCTAAGCACTGCCTTTATCACATCATTCCTTCCACCCTCTTCCCAGGACCCAAAAGTGTACACACAGGAAGCTCCCAATAATTGTTCGGGTGATTTTAATTGGTAGGTGTGAGAAGAACTGTTGAAAATGCTGCAGGATAGCCATAACCACCTGTTGGATTGACTTTAACAGAAGGATTTAGACATTTTAATAAATGGTCTACACATTGGTAACTATTAGTCATGCTTGCCCAAACAAGTCAAGAGTAAAGAAAATAATCTTTTTGCTAAATTACCAGAGTAAAGAAATATTCAAATAATTCCTTTATAACAAATGCCAGAAATAAGTGACTATCTTGAATTAATTTTAGACACTATCCAAAGTATATATTCTAGCCTTGCAAAAAGAAGGTATTAATATTACTCTGATTTTACTAATCCATGAACTCCTGGGAAGAAAGCCCTAGGTTTATCCTATAATGGCAACAGGCCACCTTTCCTGTGGACATTAAAGAAATTGAATTGCTCTGGACATGTTTTTTCTTTGCTACCAGTGAGCTCCAGGGGCTGGTAAACTCCTAAAGGAAAACCATAAAAAAACCATAATCCAGAGAAAACAAAATCCAGCTAGTTAAACTATCACCAATAAGAAGCATAAACAGGAACCATTTTCAATTGCTTGGAATCAGAAGCTCAATTTTCAAAAGTTTCAAAACAAGAGTTTACTGTTTCCCGGACATCTGCAGTTGAAAAACACAAAAACAGTTCTGGAAAGTACTGTGGTTTATTTTATACTGAGTGATTTCCAGGTGCAGAGGGGAATACTGGGGCAGAATCAAAAATTAAATGAGCATGAACCACAAGTGTTTGGGAGCCATCTTTCTATGTTCCTTTTCCCAGGCTGGTTGTGACTCTTCACATATAAATGTACTTGCTTGCCTGAGGACAGCCTTACCCTGGGGACAGTTTTGTGCAGACATCTCTTTGACAAGCTCCACAAAGACTTCTAGCTCAGAGATCCTTGGGAGAAGGCCCTCGCTTCATCTAATTTGTCATTGTGCCAGTGTCTGGAGCAGCAGGCAGATTAAGAGCCTTTCAGATGGTGAGCACCACAGTTTTAGAAAAAGAACTGCCAACCAGCTGTGTATGTGCCTCAGATTATGGAACAAGCAATAAAAAGAAAAAAGCAAGAAGAGAACTGCCAACTCCTTGTAACACAGAGCCAGAACTTTGAGAGCCAAGCTGGTCGTTTTTCCAGCCAGCCAGCACTGAGGCTGGCGTCAGACATCAGTGCAGAGAATGACATCAGAGAGTCTCCAGTCACCTGCCTGCAGGCTTGCTCAAGTAAGGCCATGGAATCCGGCAAAGATGCAAGAGGAGGTGGGCAAAGATGACTGGTGTCAATCAAAAGGTTTTTGCTTTATGCTAAATAAACTAGAATTCGGACCTAACAAACAGAGCTGGTTTTAAAGAACAATATGGGAAAAATGCATTTTTATTCTGGGAAAACTAAGACTAGCAAACATGTTTGCATGTATCTAAAGCTCCTACTTTGCAAGGAAGAACTAAGTTCCTAATACGCAAGCCAGAGAAACTGACTTTGGCTGGTGTCATGGACTCGAAGTTTGTGCCCCTCCCCAAAATACATTTGTATATTGAAACCATAACTCAAAATGTGGCTGTGCTTTCAGTAAAGGAGTAATTAAGATCAAATGAGGTCACAGAGGTGAGATTCTGATCCAACAGGATTAGTGTCCCTGCAAGAGGAGACACTAGAAAGCTTGCACCTGCATCCTCTCCCTCTCTCCCTCTGCTCTCCTCAACCCCCTCAAGGCGGTTTCCTTCAGCCTTGTGAGGCCAAAGTGGCCATTTGCAAGGCAGAAAGAGTCCTCACCAGAAACCAACCCCCACCAGAATGTTGATCTTGGACTTTTTTCTCACAATCGTGGAGACAAAAATCTATGTTGCTTAAGCCACACAGTCCATTGGTTTTTGTTATGGCAGCCTGAGCAGACTCATCAGTCTGACAGCTCCATTTCCAGAATGGCCTGCCAAGACACAGATCATTACAAGACATCATGGTAGTGGGCAAGGCCCTGCTTCAAAAGAAAATCAGGATGTTTCTAAGAAGGACAAATGGATGCTAAGTGGTATAAACATTTTATAAAACTACTCCATCAAATGATTATAAATTCTTAGTGGGATTATCTCTCCCTGATATGCACATTGCACATAGCTGGGGTGCATTTCTGTGGCTATTGTTTCAGAAACAGTGAATCCCATGGAAACACCTGTTCAGAGGTAGAGCTACAGGGTCAGATCCTCTGAGATCCACACTGATACAGAGCCTGTCTTAGTAGCTGATTTTTTGACATCAGGACTACATGGGACTCAGAGGTCCTTGATCAAAATGTCAAAGTTAAAAAGAAATACCATGGGGCCAGTGCTGTGGCATAGTGGATAGAGCCACTACCTGCAGTGCCAGCTTTCCATATGGGCATCAGTTCAAGTCCTGGCTGCTCCACTTCCAATCCAGCTCTCTGCTATGGCCCGGGAAAGCAGTGGAAGATGGCCCAAGTCCTTGGGCCTCTGCACCCACTTGGGAGACACGGAAGAGGCCCCTGGCTTCGGATCGGCACAGCTCTAGGCATTATGACCATCTGGGGAGTGAATCAGCAGATGCAAGATCTGTCTCTCTCTCTTTCTCCTTCCCTGCCTTCCTCCCTCCTTCTCTGTAACTCAGCCTTTCAAATAAATAAATCTAAAAAAAAAAAAAGAAAGAAATACCATTGACTACTATATATCGTCATTTACTCACCGGTTCCATTCCATGTACATGCCTTCTGACTGTCCAACCACATTTCTTGAAATGCTGTGTACCATATTTTTGGAAGGGTTTATCCGTGATAGCTCATTTATTCTTTAAAATATCCATGAAGTCAAAAATGAGGAAAAGCTAAGGTGACAAGGAAGTAGGGATGTAGTTTCTACTCTTTGGCCTTGGAAAACCACAAGCTACATTAACAAAACCACCAGAGAGCAAACAAGCAACACATGAGTGAGTAGGAAATGAGTGGACAGCAGTGCCCTTGTAGGTGGGAAAGCTCTGGATTAAGGACTTGAATTCTCCACTACATATCAAGCAAGTCACTAGCTTTCTAGATCTTAACTCCCTCACCTGTCCAGTGAGGCCTGGACTGAATGCCTTGTGAGCAGAGTCACAGCTCCGAGGGGAGCTCATTCAAAGCCTTTTAAAGAATGGAACTAGTCAGGGGAGGGAAACTGCCACCCAGTTCTTAGACTCCCCACACCTTTCATTATAGAAGTTCAGTGAGGCTCTGTCACGCACCTAAGGGCCAAATCCAATGATTGTAGTTGAGGCCTCACCTTACTTGACTCCTCCATTGCCTGTGCTGCTGGCTGGTCTGCCTGCCCTCAAACTCCCCCTCCTTGATGCCCCCCCCAAAACTCTCCTTTCCTGGTTCTCTTCTTGTTCTCTGGCCTTTCCTCTCTGGCTCCTCTTCCATCCACAATTTATACTGGCAATCCCTCAGGCCTGTCCTTGGTTTTTCTCTTACTCTTCTACTTGATCTAGTCATTTCAAAAGCATCTGTGGCTTCGAACATCATCTTCATGATTCCCTATCTTTTTCTCAAATGGGGGGACTTTCCCCATCTTCCAGATCCAAGTATCAGCCACCTGTCTTAGCCCATTCCCTACTGCTATCACAGAATACCTGACACTGGTGAAATAATGAATACAGGTTTATGTTAGCTCACAGTTCTGGAGGCTGGGAAGTTCACCATCAGGCAGTCGTATCTGGTGAGGGCTTCAAGCCTCTCCAACTCATGGCAGATAACAGAAGGGGTTAAGTGGGTACATGTAGGAGAGAGAGAACAAGAGGGGTATGCCGACTTTCTAACCACCTCCTCTCTTGCCAGCCAATCCAGCCCCTCCAGATTGAAAGTTCACTCAACACCAGGAGAAAAGCATTAACTCATTCATGAGGTCTCTAGCCTCCCAACCCAAGCACCTCCCACTAGAGCCTACCTCCCAACACTGTAACATTAAAGAATTAAGCCTCAACTTTTGGTGGGGACAAAACATATTCAAACCACGTGACCACTTGTTAGGTAACATATTTTCAAATGTCTCATTGGCAACAGGTTCAAAATTGAATTCACTGGATGCCCACTCACAACCTTGCCATTGCCCTTCAGTGAATGATTCCACAACCAACTCAGACACCTAAATGTCACCAAAGCTGCTCTCCCTCACATTACTGGTCTTCAAGTCCTGTCTACCTCCAACATATCTCACAAGCCTGCCCCCCACTTCATCGCCACTGTAATATCTCAGCATGAGGCATTCCAACTCTCTTGATCACCCTACATCCCTGCTGTTCATTTCAAATACACAAGAATAATATTTCATAACACTAAAGTATCATCCCTTCACCTACCTGCTCAATATTCTTCATATGCTGTCAAACTCCAAAGAATAATATCTGAACTTCTTTGCAAGGTAAACTCCATGCATAGTCTGTGTGGCTTTGTAGTGAATTCCACCTCCCCTGCCACAACTTGCATCACACCAAACTGTGTTCTAGCTGCTTGACTGTGCCCATTTCATCTTTATACACGCAGTGCTTTCACACAGTGCCTGGATATAGTTCAAGAAACCACTAAAGAGAATGAACGAACAAATACTTCAAATTTTACCTCACATGATGTCTCCCTTTCTGCATTTTTATTGCAAATATCATTAATAACAACTTGCTATAATAATAGTAAATATGTAGTGATTTTCTTTTATCCTGGTGTTCTCAATCAAAAAGACCTTAAGTGAGTATCTAGTTCAGGGATTCTCAGCCTTGAGTAGACATTGATCACCTAAAGTTGCTTTCTTGGGGGGAAAAAAGGTGGTTCTTACCCAGTCCAAGGGAACCAAAATCCAGCTTTTGTATTTACTATGGCCATTTGAGAACTTTCAATGGGAAAAGAAGAAAAAAGAGCCAATATTCATGAAATAGATTCACATCATGCTTGACACAACTTTTAAATTTTATGCAAAGTATCTTATCCCTTGTTAAAACCCACATAAACAAGAATTTTTATTTTAATTATGAGGTACCTGAAACTCAGAAAGACTGACAGGCAGAGTGGACAGTGAGAGAGAGAGACAGAGAGAAAGGTCTTCCTTTGCCGTTGGTTCACCCCCCAATGGCCTCTCCAGCCGGTGCGCTGCGGCAGGCGCACCGCGCTGATCCGAAACCAGGAGCCAGGCTCTTCTCCTGGTCTCCCATGCGGATGCAGGGCCCAAGGACTTGGGCCATCTTCCACTGCACTCCCGGGCCACAGCAGAGAGCTGGACAGGAAGAGGAGCAACCGGGACAGAATCTGGCGCCCCAACCGGGACTAGAACCCAGTGTGCCGGCGCTGCAGGTGGAAGATAAGCCTATTGAGCCACGGCGCCAGCCAAGACTAACTTACTTAAATGAGGTCACCCAACTTGCATGGGCTGAGTTCTAGGATTCTAATTGAGAGCTGTGTTCCAAGAACATGTGCTTTCCTCTGTCAGATAGGTCTCATATAGGCTGTATAAATCATGGCAGGGAGGAAGCAAGGAGAAAAAAAAAAGAATCAAACCTCTGAGTGTTGGCTCTGAATGTGGGGAACAACCCAGTCACCCTGAGTTGGGTGTGGAAAGAGTGACTCATCAATCTGGAGATATGGTTCAAAGTTGTAAGTAAATGTGACCATTTGGCAAACACCCAAGTAATTGTGCTGGAGAAAAATTATAAATAGATGCTAAAGAGTAAATGAGGCAAAGGGTATTTACATAACCTCCAAATATTCATATCTCAAGATACTTACTTATAAAAGTAAGAACGTCACAGTGGAGAAGCCTGGAAGACCCTCCCCTTCACCAAGTGAGCAAAGTTAACATCATCAGACAAGCTGACATCATGTGCCTGATATAATATACCAAGAAGGCCATGGCATTAAGTCTATGGGATTCTTGCCAAAAATGCATTTAATTATGAGAAAATATCAGATAAACCCAAGCTGAGACACAATCCACAAAATAACTGACCAATCCTTTCCAAAGTGTCAAGATCATAGCAGACAAAGACCAAGGAACTCTTCCAGATTAAAGGAAACTGAGGGCATGCAACTAACAAGAAACATTACAACAGTCAGTAAGATTTGGATAAGGTTTGCTGATTGGATGCTTTTTTAAGTATATGGGAAGATGTGTATAGGTTCTAAGTAAATCCTACATTATTTTTTATTTATCTATTCATTTATTTGAGAGATAGAGACAAAGAACACTCCCATCCTCTGATTCCATCCTCAAGTGCCCACAAATCAGGGCTAAGAAGGACCAAAGCTGAGAACTTGATCCCAACCTCCCACGTGGGTGTCAGGAACCCCATCACTTATGCCATCGCCACTGCCACCCAGGGTCTGCATTAATAAGAAGCTGGGGTCAGCAGCTAGAGCCTAGGATCAAACTCAGATGCTCCAATGCAGAATGCAGGTGTCTAAACCAGTGTCCTACCCTCTAGGCTAAACTATCTCCCCAATAGTGATATTGCATGAATGTTAACTTTCTGCTTTTGGTTATCATACTGTGATTATACAAGACATCAATATTTGGGGAATTTTGATGAAGGATATATGAAACTTCCTTGAACTATCTTTGCAACCTTGTATAAGTCTGTAATTATTCTAAACTAAAAAGTTTGTTATAAACTGCCGGCGCCACGGCTCACTAGGCTAATCCTCCGCCTAGCAGCGCCGGCACACCGGGTTCTAGTCCCGGTTGGGGCGCCGGATTCTGTCCCGGTTGCCCCTCTTCCAGGCCAGCTCTCTGCTGTGCCCAGGGAGTGCAGTGGAGGATGGTCCAGGTGCTTGGGCCCTGCATCCCATGGGAAACCAGGAAAAGCACCTGGCTCCTGCCATCGGATCAGCGCGGTGCGCCGGCCGCAGCACGCCGGCCACGGCGGCCATTGGAGGGTGAACCAACGGCAAAGGAAGACCTTTCTCTCTGTCTCTCTCTCTCACTGTCCACTCTGCCTGTCAAAAAAAAAAAAAAAGTTTGTTATAAACTAAAAAGTTGGGGCTGGCATTGTGGCAGAGAGGATAAAACTACTGCGAGCAATGTCAGCATCCCAGATGAGATGCAGACAAGACCCAACAGCTCCACTTCCAATCTAGCTCCTTGCTAATGTACCTGAGGAAAGCAGTGGAAAATGACCCAAGTGCTTAGGCCCTGGTACCCATGTGGAGGACCCAGAAGAAGCTCCTGGCTTCAGTCTGGCCCAGCCCTGACCCTGGCCATTGCAACCATGTGGGGAGTGAATCATCAGATGAAGATCGATCTCTCTCTCTCTCTGTAACTCTTTCAAATAAATAAATCTTTTTTAAAAAAGATTTAAGAAGTTGAAAGTTTATAAAAAAAACAAAGAAGTGATGTAAAGTTTTGAGACTGGTTTTCATTCATGAATCTGAAACTGTTTCTAAAAGGAGTACCAAATTATTTTGAGTGTTATGTACAGCATCCGTGGCTCTAGATGAATACTTTTTGGGAAACAATGTTCTTTTTCACTTATAAAACCTTATGCTTATTACATTACAGATCTCATATCATTATAATTCCATACATATTTTGCTCTTAAAACCTTTCAGATAATTCTCACATTAACTTTGCTAGCTAAGAAGCTGAGCAACAACCATGGCTCATAGGGCTAGGAAGCAACAACAGCAGGGCTGGAAAAGGAACCTGCTCTGATTTCGGAGTTCCTTCCAGTTAGGCTACACTGCCTCCCAGATCCTCTAGAGAGCACAAAACACCCAGGACCCAGGGAGATTAACACCAAAGAGGCTGAAGCGAAGAAAAGCACAGTAGATTCCACATTTGTGAATTACTATATTGCAAGTTCATAAAAATCTCTCTACAGCTTAAAGAATGCCCTCACCCCTGGCAGAATGGCTACTATCCAAAAGACAGAGGGTATCTAATGCCGGTGAGGATGTGGAGAAGGGGGTCCTATTACACGCTGATGGTGGGAATATAAATTAGCACAGCTACTTCAAAAACAGCATGGAGATTTCTTTAAAAAATAGAAATTGACTTGCCATATGATCCAGCAATCCCACTGCTGGGCATATACCCAAAAGCCATGAACACACTGTATCAAAGAGATACCAGCACCACCCTGTTTACAGCAGCCCAGTTCATAATAGCCAGAATATGGAATCAACCAAGGCATCCATCATCAGATGAATGGATGATATATACACATATAGCTAGATATTACTCAGCTATTTTAAAAAATGAAATATCATTTTCATCAAAATAGTTGCAACTAGAGGACAACATGTTGAATGAAATATGCCAGACACAGAAAGATAAATACTGCATGCTCTTATAGGTGAAGTTAAAATTTTTAATTTTTTTAAATTTATTTATTTGACAGGTAGAGTTGTAGACAGTGAGAGAGACAGACAGAGAGAAAGGTCTTCCTTCCATTGGTTCACTGCCCAAATGGCCGCTACAGCCGGCGCTGCACCGATCCGAAGCCAGGAGCTTCCTGGTCTCCCATGCGGGTGCAGGGCCCAAGCACTTGGGCCATCCTCCACTGCCCTCCCATGCCACAGCAAAGATCTGGACTGAAGAGGAGTAACCAGGACTAGAACCCGGTGCCCATATGGGATGCCAGCGCTGCGAGCGGAGGATTAACCAACTGAGCTACGGCGCCAGCCCCAGAGCTAAAATTTTTAAAATCAAAAATAAGCAAAAAAAAAAAAAAAATGAGAAATGCCTGTATCAGTTTTGCTTCAAATAGTGGTTTGTCAGATTTTATTTTTAATCTTTGTCAAAAAGATTATCAATTATATACTATAATAGTTTTAAGGATCTGTGACTACTCTAAAATGCACTTTACCTGGGGGCCAGCACTGTGGCATAGCGGGTAAAGCCGCTGCCTGCAGTGCCAGCATCCCATATGGGTGCCAATTTGAGTCCCAGCTGCTCCACTTCCAATCCAGCTGACTGCTATGGCCTGGAAAAGCAGTAGAAAATGGCCCTAGTGCTTGGACCCCTGCACCCGTGTGGGAGACCTGGAAGAAGCTCCTGGCTCTGGTCATTGTGGCCATCTGGGGAGTGAACCAGTGGATGGAAGATGTCGCTCTCTCTGCCTCTGCCTCTCTAATTTTGCCTTTCAAATAACTAAATCTTTAAAAAAAAAAAAAAAAGTACCATATCTGGGTGAAGTTGACATCTTTTCATTTTATTATTATCACTCTTACCTATATTCCTGCTGAACTATAGTCGTCTTTTTTACTGAACTCTTTGTTTAAAGGAACATTAAGACTTTGACTCTAAGGTAAATTAAAAATTTTATTTCCCTGGTGCTGTGGCATAGCAGGTAAAGCTGCCACTTGCAGTGCTGGCATCCTATATGGGCACTGGTTCAAGTCCCAGCTGCATCACTTCAAATCCAGCTCTGCTATGGCCTAGGAAAGTAGAAGGTGGCCCAAGTCCTTAGGCCCCTCCAACCATGTCAGAGACCTGGAAGAAGCTCCTGGTTCCTGGCTTTGAATCAGCTCAACTCTGGCCTTTGTGACCATTTGAGGACCAGCAGATTGAAGCTCGCTTGTGCTCGCTCACTCTCTCTCTCTCTCTCTCTCTCTGCCTCTGCCTTTCTGTAATTCTGCCTTTCAAGTAAGTACATAAATCTTTTAAAAAATGATTCTCAAAAATATGAAAGAAAAAATAAGATGAGAGTATCTTCAAAAAATTTCAAGGAATATATTCATTATGAAAAACTATGCATAGACTTCAAAAACTGTTTTTGCACAAAAATGTCTTTCAATTGCATTTTACATGAACTCTTTGATGTACTCTCATGTGTTTGTTAAATATTTTATACGGGTAAGGGAGGGTAATCTGTTCTTTCCCCCAAGATCTTTAACACTGATGATAATAATGGTTAATATTTGTTGAGCAACTACCATTGCCAATTATTGTTCCAAGTTCTAATATATTAGCTCATTTAATACTTGAAACAACTCTATTGTAGCTACATTATGATCTCAGCTTCACAGGTGAGGAAACTACGGCACTCAGAGTTTCAGAACTTGCTCACAGTCACCACTGAGGGATGAAGACAGCTCACACTGGTCTAGGATGCTCTGCCTCTCCTGTAACACTCAGAGGTGTCTATTTCCTTCCGCAGTCCACATGCCCTTCATAACATCACCTCCCATCACCATGGTCTCCTTTCAGCTCTAGGAGGACTTCATTCAGACAGGAAAAGCCGAAACATGTTATCAACACAGTGGATGGTTTCACTCAGCCCAAAGGGTCAGACCCAAAGGAATAAGAGGAGGGACAAGATTTTAAAAAAATTGACCCTGACCCTTAAGGTGCTTATAATCTACCCAAAGCCTTTAAAAATTAGCTTAAGGTTTTTCTCTATTTTAAGAAAAAGAAATTACTGACAGCTCTGTTCATAAGGACTTGATGTGCTATGGATTTTTACCCTTTATCAGCCACAATTGGATACCAGTCCTGCTATTTTCAGAGTACATATTTAGAGAGGGACTAGTCAAATAGTCAAAAATATTTGTTGATTTACTTGTTCAAAATTGTTAGAATCACTCTAAGAATAGGGGGAAATATTTGGAAACTACTTAAAAGACTAATATCCAGAATACTTAAAGAACTCAAAAAACTCAACAACAAAAAAAGATAAAGCCAGATAAAAAGTGGGCAAAATACCTGAACAAACATTTCTCAAAAGATCTATAAATGAACAAAAAATCTATTATGACAAAATGTTCAATATCATTAGCCATCAGAGAAACATGAACCAAAACCAAAATGATATCACCTCACTTATTAGAATGGCTATTATTAAAAATATAAAGTAATAAATGCTGGTAAAGATGTGGAGAAGGGGAAATTCTTATACACTGTTAGTAGGATTGTAAATTAGTACAGCCACTGTGGAAAACAGTATGGAGATTCCTATTTTTAAAAACCTAGGAATGGGGGCCGGTACTGTGGCATAGTAGGCTAAGCCTCTGCCTGCAGCACTGGCAAACATCCCATATGGGAGCCAGTTCACGTCTGGCTGCTCATCTTCTTATCCAGCTCTCTGCTTCTGGCCTTGGAAAGGAGAAGATGGATCAAGTGCTTGGGCCCCTGCACCCGTGTGGGAGACCCTGGAGAAGTCTGGGCTCCTGGCTTCAGATCAGTCCAGCTCTAGTCATTGGAGCCATTTGGGAAGTGAATCAGCAGTTGAAGACCTCTCCCTTCTCCCTTCTCCCCCACTCCCTCCTTCTCTCCCTCCTTCTCTCTGTAACTCTACCTCTCAAATAATAAAAACTTTAATTAAAAAAAAAAACTAGAAATAGAACTTCTATATGGTCCTGCAATTCCAGTACTATGTATATATCCAAGACATGAAATCATTATATCAAAGAGATTCCTGCATCATCATGTTTATTGAAGTTATTCACGTTAGCCAAGATATGGAATCAACAAGGTGGTGCTCAATCGGACTTGCCCCAAATGGTAGAGTTAGAAATGTGCCAGGGGATTCCAATTCAATCCCATCAAGGTGGCATGTACCAATGCCATCTCACTAGTCCAAGTGAGCAATTTCTGTTCACAATTGATCATAATGATAGGACTAAGAGTCAAAGGGATCACATAAACAAGACTAGTGTCTGCTGATACTAACTGATAGAATACAAAAGAGAGAATGCTCCAACATGGGAAGCGGGATACACAGCAGACTCATAGAATGGCAGATGTCCTAAACAGCACTCTGGCCTCAGAATCAGCCCTTAAGGCATTTGGATCCTGCTGAAAAGCCCATGAGAGTATTTCAGGCATGGAAAGCCAAGACACTCTGGAAAGACACTCTCTCTCTCTCACACACTCACTCACTCTCTCACACACTCTCTCTCACTCTCTCTCATACTCTCTCTCTCTCACTCTCTCTCACTCTCCCTCTCACTCTCTCTCTCACACTCTCTCATACTCTCTCTCACTCTCTCATACTCTCTCTCACTCTCACTCTCTCTCACTCTCTCTCACTCTCTCTCACTCTCTCTCTCACTCTCTCTCACTCTCACTCACTCTCACTCACTCTCTCTCACTCTCTCTCACTCTCACTCTCTCTCACTCACTCTCTCACTCACTCTCTCACTCTCTCACTCTCACTCACTCTCACTCTCTCACTCTCTCTCACTCTCTTGCTCTCTCTCACTCTCTCACTCTCTCTCACTCTCTCACTGTCATACACACTCACACACTCTCTCATACACTCTCTCTCACACACTCACTCACTTTCAAATACACAAATATTAAATTATAATTTATTACATATATTGTGACCAAAAAAAGGAGCTCCAAGGCTCCAAAATTCTATCAAAGAAAAAGAAATGTTGATTACTCTGATTTGATCGCTACAAACTGTATATGTATATTGAAATGTTGCATTGTATCCCATAAATATGTGCAGTAATTGTTAATAAAAATTACTGGAATCATTCTAAGAGACTTCTCATATGAGACATAGTTAATTTACTAAGCCATTTAATTAGCTCTGCCTCTTCCACAGCAGTATGCACGTTTTCCTTTGATGAAACAAATGATACCATTGCTTCAATGTGGGTGACAATGAGTGATAAGATTCACACTAAGCCTAGCCCTCTGTGACAGGAAGCAGCAACCTCTTTCTGAGGTTGGCAAACGTGTCAATAGTCCATAACAAGATCAGACCCTTGCCTTGGTCTTGTCAGTCCCCTACCCTTCAATGTAGAAGCTGATTAGCCTATAATACAGGATCTTTCAAGACAGGTTCATCTCCTACATTACGCTGCAAGTCATTAGCCTGTGCAAATTCATTTCTGTGAAAAGGCTTCAGAAATGCCTGCAGTATGATGAAGCATTTCTAGGGGAGATGGCTTCTAGCATTAACAAGTCAGTAAACAGAGATTTTGATTCCTTCTTTGAAGATCCAAAACTTCACACATATTTGCAGAAAAAGGATCCCAGTCATCTCTCATAATCCCACACAGTAATAAAGATTGGAAGAAACAGAATATTTGTGTCATAAAGCTTTGTTTCTGCTATCATTATATGCTTAGGTACCCTAAACAAGTTCAAAAACGTAACTCCACACACACACACACACACACACACACACGTACACCCTGCACTTCTCATCTCCTCTTACATTTAAAATTCACATCCAAATTCTGCGACAGCAAATCTTACAGGAAAGTGCAGGGAGTGATAATGCTAGCATAATATTATTAAGAATTTCGAACCCATGTAACTCTTATTCAATTTTTTTGCCACATCTCATAAGTTTGAAAAAATCTCAAATATTTATCAATGCTGGAAATCGTTCTTAACTGGAATATAAGGGATAAGTTGCTATAATTAGAGAGGAAAATGAGACCGCTGGGGACTTTCGGATGTGATTCACAAGTCACATACCTCTGTTATCATTCAATGAGCCAGGGATACAAGCATTCACTCTGGAGAGATTTTAGGTCTAAATCGTTATCAAACTCTGCCTGCCACAGTCAAATGTCCCCAGATGCCTCGGGCCCACAGAGGATGAATGCTAAGAGCCAAATGACCACTGACTAATGGTCATTAACATCATATAACAAAGATGCAGGAGTCCTCCTCCAGAAAGTAGAGAAAAATTAGAACATGCTTCCTGCAGACTACTCAACCTCACCACGCTGAGAATCTTCCCAACCTCACGCAAGCCTGGAAGTGAAGCTATTTAGGTCACTGAAAAATATCAACATGCCCAGATGCCTTTATACTGTTTAAATCTCAGCAAAATTCTATGTACTTCCTGGCCTCTCTGCTTGCTGTATGGTCCTTTTCCTTCTCAGAGCCTCCTATATTGAGAAGCCAACTCACAGAAGGTACTTACTGCTCAAGACATGAATCAAATGCCGCAGGAATGGCTTCCCTCCTTTATAGTTCCAGTTCTTACCTTTTTAAAATTATTTTTATTATTATTTCTTTCGGCCCTACATCCTTACCTACTCCTAGCATGCATGTTCTAAGTCTCTGGTCTTTTCTCTGCTGGACAGAGCATATCTCATTCCTTAATTTGTAGAACAGCTGGGAGATGGTAGACTCTCAACCTGTGAGTCATGGTCCCCAATCTCAATCCCTATGTGTTGTAGACATGAACAGAAAACCAGCAAGCAGGTGTTTATTTGCTTTCCTACAATCCTCCCCGGGGTCCTTACAGCTTCTCAGAGGTACTTTAGGATTTCCATGGAGAACTGTTTGCCAAGAAATAATCAGAGAACTAAGAAACAGTATCAGCCTTTGTTTTTGTCTGAGCCTTTGAGTTCCTCCTCAATTTCATTGGTCTTACAAAGAAAAAAACTATGATGACTCAAATTTGAAGACAATTTGTAGTTGTTTTCTGAATTTACAGATGAATAAACTGAAGGATAAAGGCAAAGCAACAGGATGAGAAAAACTTCCTCAGGCTGAATACAGCAAGAGACAAGGTATAAACGAAACTTTACAAAGATTGCAACTGGCCTCGGGCTAGAGATGAGATCATACATAGATCCATAGATTGTTACCACGTTGGACTTGTAGGTATATAGATCCATAGATTGTTACCACATTGGACTGGTGGGTATATAAAGACCTCTTGGGCTCCCTGTGAATGCACCTTTTCCATGGCAACCTCGCGAAGCATCCTAATGCTGAACTGATTGCAGTAGAGGGCCGTGGCATATGCCCCAGAGCTCTGGCTTGCCACACAACTCGCAGGGGCAGGTGTCATGCGCAATAGTTAAGAATGTCCAACAAATCCTCACTCATAGCAGGGGAAAACTGAAAATAGTCCAAATGTCTACCTATGGACAATGGAATACTTTGTAAGCAATAATTCAAGAAGAAAATGTGTTAGAACTAAAATAGAATTATTGGGGCTAGCATTTTGGCACAGCAGATTAAGCCTCTACTTGTGATACTGGCATTCCATATTAGAGCACCAGTTGCAGTCCTAGCTGCTCCACTTCTGATCCAGCTCCCTGATAATCTGCCTGGAAAAGCAGCAAAATATGGCACGAATACTTGGGCGCCCACCACCCAGGTGGGAAACCTGGATGGAGCTCTGGACTCCTGGCTTTGGCCTGGCCCAGCCCTAGCCCTTTGAACCACTGGGAAGTGAACCAGCAAATGGAAGATCTGTCTCTCCTTCATTCACTCATACTTCCTCTGTATTTCAAATAAATCCTTTTAAAATTAAATAAAACAGAACTATCTCCGAAAAATAGTCATATTACAAATGTAAACCTAGAATGACAATCTCTGTACATGCTTAAGATCTTTCTACAAAGTCCTGGGGATGAGAAGTTTGCACTGGGTAGAAAGGGGTGAGAGGCTTCTCGCCATAAACCTCTGTGAACTTTCTCATTTAAATCATGTGGACGCATTCCCTGATTGAGCAATTTTGTTTTAAATTTAAATGCCCCAATTTCAAAATCTGCCTTGGGCTTTTGTGGGCTTTTTTTTTTTAATCTGTACCTCTTTTAAAATTTGATTTGTTTTCTCTTTAGTCTCTGTGGGTACCTCAATACCCCTCCCTTGACAAAAAGAACTGTTTGTCCCTTCTTCATTTCATTTTATAACAAACTTGCTGCTGGCATTAAGTTCAATGGTCTGACATCCAATAAAATATTTAAGTATCTAATAAAGTAAACACAGAGGAGAGCTGCTTCCTGGCATTTTAAAACACTCAGCTTTCATGTCTCTGGCTCCCCAGGTCCCCCAAACTAAGGCTGCCAGATCCTTCTTTCATGGCCTATCCTAACGCATCAGAGTCACACAATGGTCAGGTCTGAACCACTTTTCCAGGGGCGATCATTAGTGGCTGGTGCCTCTATGACTTAACACCCAGTCTACATGTGTCCCTTATCCTTCAAGCTAAAACTTTTTTCTTTAGATAATAACATCCCAAGAACAACTAAGACTCTAAATTTATAGTCAATCTCTCAGCATATATTATTAGAACAAAAATAGGTGTATTGTATTCCATATTTCATGTTGCAACAATTTTTCATGAGAAGTGGAGGGAGTGCTGGGAATCTCACCCTGCAGTGCCCCCTACTGGTCATTTTAAGAAGCAGCTACGAAAAGGGAGAAGGAGGGAGGGAGGAAGGGAGGGAGGAAGGGAATATTTTCTTAGAATTGTATGGTATGTTTTTTAAATTCTTCTTCTGCATCTGTTGATTTGATCATATGATAAATATTTAAACTGTATATATGATGGATTACATTCATTGATTTTTGAACCAATTGTGAATACCTGGAATAAAAAATAAATACCAAAAAATAATTGTATCTACAAATCACATTGAATCTGTTGAAAACTAAAAAATTCCAATAAAAAAGTTTTGAAGAAGAAATGGCTATGAGGGAACACAGGGACAGCAGTGACTTTCTGAATAGTGCTGAAGGCATCTTGTATGTGGTAGGGTTTGGTTTGGTTTGGTTTCCACATACCTTCTAAATTGGGGATCATTTTGATACATCTGCCATCCTGGTCACCAGCTGACAGAGAATGTGAGTCACATTGGTGACAACTCAGGGTCAACAGAAGAGAGGGGCCTCTAAGCTTCTTCAAAGTTCCCCACCTCACCTCTAGCCCTAGACAGCACAGCACAACAGGACACAACATGGGCTTCATCTGCCAAAAATTCTATGCCAAAACTCTGTTAGATTTCACACATACACACACCCATGAATTTTCCTTCTCATTCAACATACAAATAATTCTGGGAGAGGGAACAGTGTTGAGTTTACATTTGCTTTAATTTGATTTCATAGAACCAGACTGGTTTTGCTTAATTAACCACTAGTGTAAAGCCACTTGGCTTGGGCTTAATTGTGACAAAGAGTTAGCAACTTCTTTGGTAAAGAAGTTTGGGGCATGGGTTCAGCACTGTAGCGGCATGCCATATGGTTGCCAGTTCTAGTCCCAGTTGCTCCATTTCCAATCCAGGTCCCTGCTTATGTTCCTGGGAAGGCAGCTGCATCAGATGACCCTGCACCCACATGGGAGACCCAGAACAAGCTCCTGGCTTCAGATTGGCTCAGCTCTGGCCCTTGCAGCCATTTGGGGAGTAAACCAGCAGATGGAAGATCTCTCTCTCTCTTTCTCTCTCTCTCTGCCTCTCTGTAACTCTGCCTTTCAAATAAATAGATCTTTTAAAAAAAATAAAGTAGCAGTAGTAGTAGTAGTATAGTAGAAGTAGAAGTAGTAGTAGTAGTAGTAGTAGTAGTACTTTGCGGCATGTACAACAGGAGGGTACCCAGAGGCCTCTGGAGAGGTTGGGGGGGCGGGGGGGCCTGTCCACAGGCCCACCCTGTAAGCGCGTACCCTTTCCTTGGGGAAGCAGAGTGTGCAGATGGGAATCTCCCAGCATCAACATATTGGCCCAGCCCTGAGGCTGAAATAATAGATGTTGAGCCCATCCCTGCAGAATTTGCTCGTGTATAATCAAAAACAGTGTCTCCAATAGAAGCCTGTTGCCAGCTTTATGGTCATATAAGGAAAAATGGGAGAATTCCTTAGGAGGAGAAGCTAGGAAGCAGTTAGGACTTCTTTGAAGACAGTGGTGTCCCAAGAGTTTCCCTCCCCACAAGGGAAGGTGGAACTTCCCCCTGTTGTGCCAGGTGAGGGGCTCTTTAAGAGGACAATTTGGGGAGTTTGTCATTCGCTCCCTGGAACCTACAGACTGGCCCCTGACTCATCCTTCATGAGTCAAAGGCAAGAGGGTGACTGGAATAGCCTACCTGGCCACAGGGATGCAGGACAAGGCAATGGCCAGAATTTGCGGGGTGAAGACATTCATTGGTTTCCCACTGGACAGGTACAATCAACAAAGAAAACCAGACTTGGGTTTTCTTAACCGAATCCAGACAGAGAGGTGACCTCCATAGAGGAAGAAGAGACTGGCTGAAGGGGAGCCTCCAGTGCCCAGCTGTACAAGTCACTGCCCACAATGGGTGCTGCAGGTGGGAAGCAGGTAGGGCCAGAGTCCCTGGAAACTCACTGAGAGCTCCCTCTCTCCACTAAAAGCAGGTGCCAATAGCATCCAACTCACCCAGCTGCCCCAGTGCCAGATCACGACTGCCCTGTCATATAAGGCCTTCCCGACCCTTCTCTCTTCCCTGACCCAGAACTGCACGGTGGATGCTGGGAAAATAGAACACTAGGGCACTAGCCATGCCCCATCCCTAACCCTGGCCCCAGAGCAGGTTCCCAGCCCAACAAGCCTGAGCCTGGCAAAGGCAAAAGCTTGATCCTGAATTGACTTTGCAGTATCTGCGGCTATTTACTTATCGTTAACATGGAAGGAAGAACATTGGCTCAGATCCTGCTAAAACTAGATTTTGCATCATTATCATTTTTCATTTAACATCAAAAGAGAAGGCTCAGGTTCCATTGTAGCTGTGTAATTTTTGCTGGAATGTATTTTGTGTAAGCCTGTAGCTGAATCAAAAACAAACAAAAGAGGGGTTAGAGCTGTGGCTAAGTAGGAGGCTAAGCTTCCACCTGTGGTACCAGCCTCTCATGCAGGCACCAGTTCGTATCCCAGTTGTTCCTCTTCTGATCCAGCTGTCTGCTGTGGCTTGGGAAAACAGAAGATGGCCCAAGTGCTTGGGCCCCCGCACCTGCATGGGAGACACAGCGGAAGCTTCTGGCTTCGAATCGGCTCAGCTCCAGCCATCCCAGCCATTTGGGGAGTGAACCAGCAGATGGAAGACCTCTCTCTCCACCCCTCTCTGACTGTAGCTCTACCTCTCAAATAAATAAGTCTTTTAAAAAAATGAACTCCTGAGACCCCACAAGATATCTCATTTAATCTTCTAGGAAACAGGGCTTGGGAGGAATAACAACTACTATTTTTAAATAGCATTCTACAAACCACAGTCCTATACATTACTACCTCTCAATTTCCATAATCATCCCCGTTTCAAAGATGAGAAAATTGAGGTCCAGAGAAAGTAACTTCCCCCAACATTAAGCACATTAGTACATGAATTTGTACCTAGCCTATCCGATTCCAGAGCACTGACTTAGAACAGTTTGTAAAATTCCTCTTCTTGGGGCTAGTATTGTGGCGTAGTGAGAAAGCTGCCACCTGTGACACTGGCATTGCCTATGGAAGCTGGTTCATGTCCCAGCTTCTCCACCTCCAATCCAGCTCCCTGCTAATGGCCTGGAAGGGGCAGCAAAAGATGGCCCAAGTGCTTGTGTGCCTGCACCCATGTGGAATGAACCAATTGATAGAAAATTGATCAATCTCGCTCTCTCTCACTATAACTCTTACTTTCAAATGAGTGAATAAATCTTTTTTTCAAAAAAATTCATTTTCTAACTTTTCAGGGAAAATTCTAAAAATTTCAATGGATACAAACATTCTGAATGAGTAGAACATTAATGTTTCCCCCCAAAATTCATATTGAAGTCCTAACTCCCAAGCATTAGAAGGTGGGGTCTTTGGGAGATAATCAGGTCCCTTATTATGGCATTAGTGCCCTTATGAAAGAGACCCCTTCTGCCATGTAAAGACTCAGGGAGAAGACAGTCAGCTATGAACCAGGAACAGGCTCTCACCAGACATGGAAACTGCCAGAACTGTAAGACAGACTTCCGTGGTTTCTAAGGCACCTAGTTCCCCAAAGGGAAGGAAGGAGAAAAAAGCAGGGGACAAAGTGGAAAGAGTCCAACACAGTAACATAGAAAAATGAAAATTATAAAAGGCAGGGGGCGAAGCTTAGCCCTCATCCATTCGCCTCGAGTGCCAGGATCCCAAAGGAAGACCAGCAGCCTTTCTCTGCACCTCGCACAATCCAAGAGAGAGTAGGATTCACTTCCTGGGAGCCCCTTCCCCCGGCCCCACGCCTCACCCCTTTCTATTCCCATATCCCAGCAGCCACTGTAGACAGCCGTTTCTATCATCATGACACCAGCCTCCTGAGCTTATAGCAAACCACTAAAGACTCACGATGTGCTTATGGCTGAGGTACTATTTTGCCCAGAAATAAGTTTGAAACCTTAAAAATGCCAGGCAGAGTGGGGAGCAGAGAGTCGGGGTACAGGACTCACCACCATTACCCTTACCCCATCCCCCTAACACCAACTCTGGCTTTGCCAGGGACATTGGAACAGCCCTGGCAAGAGATAAGCCTCAGAAGGGCCAGAATTCAGGACCAGGGGTTGGGGGTGGGGATGGCGGGTTGTCTGCCCAAACCTGACCCCAAGCTTTTCCTTCCTGCTGGCCTCAAGGAGCAAACCTCAAAACCAGCTGACTTCCCACACACACCTCCCCACCCCTCACCTCTTGTTCCTCTCCACCACATAATCCTGACCCTGACCTGTACTCCCGCCCCACGGGGATTTGGAGGGCTTCTTACCTCGCCTGTTGATGCTGTAGACTCTTCCACTGCCTTCCTGGGGAGATGTCAGCCACCCACCAGCATCCACTCATGACTTTATTCTGATTGCCCCACCCCCAGCCTCCCTCTTATGACTTCATTCTGATTGCCCCGCCCCCAGCCTCCCTCTTATGACTTCATTCTGATTGCCCCACCCCCAGCCTCCCTCTTATGACTTCATTCTGATTGCCCCGCCCCCAGCCTCAATAAAGGTGTCAAGTCAGCAGATGATAAGGAATTAACTCTTCCTCACAGGTCAAACTTCCACTGGCCCACCAAAGCAAGTTCTTAGGGAACCCCATCTCCCCAGCTGATCCCAAATTGTTTTCTCTCACTCTTGTCTCATGTCTTAAAACCTTGCTTCTGTTTCTGTCTTAAACCTCTCCAGATTTAGGTCTTATCCTGGCTTTCAAACCTCAGCCCTCTCACCATAATATCAGAGTCAACTCCCTGTTCAAACTCAAGCAACACAGAGGAAGCCACATGGAGTACTCTCACCCTCTAAAATAAGTCCTCTAGGTAGCCCCATTTTACAGGTGCTAAACCAGCCACACAGAGCTTGGACTTCTCACCAAAGAAGGAAGTCTGACATTAAAGTCAAAATCTGACAACCTATACCAGTGGCTCTCAAACTTCATTGGGCATGAGAATCATCTGGAAAGAATCACAGGTTGTCAAGACCCAATCCCAGAGTTTCAGATTCAGTAGGTCTGACACGAGGTCTAATGACTTGCATTGCTAACAAGCGTCCCGCTGATGCCAGTGCTGCAGGTCTGAGGTCCACACTTTGAGAACCACTCACCTATACTCTTCTATACTCTGGCCTGTACTTTAGAACAAACCAATGAAATCATAAGCATTAAAGATGTGGTCCAGGCGCCAATTTTTTAAATGCTTCAGACAATTTTAATATGCAGACTGGGTTGAGAACTACTGAATCTAATCTTGCCACTCAAGGTGTAGTCCCTTGGCAGCATTAGCAACACCTGTCCCCTCAGACTAGCAGACCCCCAGGTGATTGGGTTCTCATGAAGTCTGAGGAACACAACACTCCACTGCCTCCAGCACCCTCTGCAGCTGCTTGGCCCCCTTTTAGAGATCCCAAGAAATCCCTGTAATCAACTGGAGGCAACCAGAGAAACACAACCAGTAGGAGACATTATTAAGAGATGTGTTTGCAAGGAATTGGCTTACAAGATGGTGTGACTGCCTGTGCAAGTCATAACTCATTGGGCAGGCTGTTTGGAACAGCAGATGGCAACTGTGGGGCACAGGCTGAAAGGGCTGTCCCAAGGCAGAGAATTTCTTCCACTCACTGGGAAACCTCAGACCTTTCAACAGATTCAGTCAGACCCATTCAGATGACCTAGGATGATATCCCTTACATAAAATAAACTGATATGAACTTAACTACATAATACAAAATACCTTCACAGCAACACCCAGTTTGAATAACTGGGAACTGTAGCCTACCCAAGCTGACACGTGAAACTGACCATCACAACCACAGAGGAAGCTTGATTTAGGAACAGAATCTACAGCTGTGCACCTTATCTTTTATCATCAGCCACAGTAAATAAGTCGGTGTGTCCTTACCTAAGCACTGGTGAAAATGTTGAGTCAGTGGGTGACAAGTGATTGACTCCACTTCCTTCAACATTCATCACTGACTTCCTTGTCCCTGGGCACTCATAAGTAACCATAACAAAGAGGCAACAAGAATCCCCTCTTTCTCTAAATTGGCCATCAGCTGATAAAAAATAAATACATACTGGCCACATGAACAATAAGGGGAACTCATCTTTTGTGGGTCTGTAGACTAGTTGCATGTCTTCTAGCCTGTGGAAATGATAAAGGCATATTGCCTCTGTGAGCCAGACTTGCTGGGCTCCAAGTAATGCACCCTAACGTTGGGTAACACATTCTCACAGCCATGCCATGTAACTGAGTTACTGTGAGCTTGAGGTCTACTGATTAACTCTCCATGTGAATTCCTCAAAGCCTGGATTTCACCTAGTCTGTGTCTGTATGGGACTTCACAGTTCTTCCTTTGTTCATTTACAGAATAAATATGCTAGGCACAAGACATGCAGTCAAGGAACTCTTAATCAAGTGGAAGAGTAAACCATGTAAGAAATAGTAAAATAGAGACAAGTAGAAAGTCCATTTGCTAATTTTGGCTTATTTTTAAACGTATAAAATTATTTTGCCTCTCAGGGTGAGTTACTGTCCAACCCAACCTCATCCTAACCACAGATTTGACCATATTTTTTTCCAAATGTTACTTTTTGAGAGAAAGGATAGGCAAGCACTCCCCCAAATGCCCACAATGGCTGGGGCTTGGCTAGGTCTAAACCAGGAGCTGAGAATGCCATCCAGGCTTCCTATGTGGGTAGCAGCAACCCAATTACTTGAGCCATCATGACTATCTCCCAAAGTCTGCATTGGCAGAAGGCTGGAGTCAGATATCTAACCCAGTATGGGACCTGGGCATCTTAGTCACTTAGCTGAACTCCTAATTCCTGTTTCCTACATTTTAATAGCACTGGTTAGTAACTCAGAATCAATTCTCTTTGGATTTGACTATATACTGTGAGTATAGTGGGTTTCATAGTAGCCCCCAAATGGATATGCCCACGTTCTAATCCCTGGACCATATGCATGTGACTTTATTTGGAAAAAAGATCTTTGCGATGTAATTAATTTAAGGATCTTAAAATGCGGTCATCCTGAATCACCTGGGTGGACCCTAATCCAGAGACACCATGTCCTTACAAATGACACCCAGAGGGGTGCAGAGAGGCAAAGATTAGAGTTACACAGCCACAAGCCAGGGAATGTCTGATGCCACCAGAAGCTGAAAGAGACAAGAAGTATTCTCTACTAGAGCTTTCAGAGGGAGTTCAATCCTGCTCATGTCTCGATTTTGGACTTCTGGCCCCCAGAAATACGACAGTAAATTCTGTTTTAAGCCACCAAGTTTACAGTAATTTGTTACAGTGACCACAGAAAACTAATACTATTGTGTTTAGCCATTGCCTGTTGTGTGCCTCCTCATTATACAAAGATACTTCAAAAAGTTCATGGGAAATGTAATCAAAAGTTTATTCTAGTTAAAAAAAAATAGAAATCCTACATAGCTTTTTCATAACATGCATTTTCCATAAAATTTTTAAGACCTCCATATATATTAGTAGTAATTAGATGTGTAAAGAGTAGTCAAAGGCATATAAGAGCCCAAGAACACATTTTAAAAGGCACAAAGACAGAAATATGTGGCTGAACCAGCACCCACAGTAAGAAGCCTAGAAGAACCTGTAGAAGAAATGTTCAGCAGTCAGATAAAGGAGAAGAGTTGTGAATGACAGGAGCTTGGATTTGATTTGATCCAATGGGCAGCCTGAGGCTTTTGATTAAAAAACCAGGCTTTTTTAAGATTAAACTAGAACCAATGGCCGGGCTGGTTTCTGGAAGAAGACTCATTCAAGATTCCAGATACTACATTAAGGTGCTAGAGGATGAATCCTCAGGAATTTACCTATCAGACACAGAGAATTTCAAGGTGACAACCAGATGTCAACATCAGAAAAGGAGTGGGTATTTGGTATAGCAGTTGAGACCTCACTTGGGATACCAGCATCCCGTATCAAAGTGCCTAGCTTAGAGACAAACAGGGAGATCTCCCATCTGCTGATTCACTCTCCAAATGCCCACCAGCCAGAACTAGACCAGGCTGAAGTCAGGAGCCACACAGTCAATACAGGTCTCCCATGTGGGTGGGAGGGACTCAGCTATCACACCCTGCCTTCCCAGGGTCTATATTACAAGGAAGCTGGAACTAGGAACTAGGAAAGGAAACATCACAAGTAGCTTCTTAAACACTGTGCTAAGTACCTTCCCCTGTGCTAAATAATTTTTAACTGTAGTTTTGTTAAAGACGCATAGTAGTATATAACAGAAAACAATCCACTTAAATAAAGTGTAGTGAAAGTTTTAGTGTTTAATCAGACTCAAAATGAAGGTTAGTTGCTGAAGCAGAACTGTCCAGAGTTGGGGGAGCCATACCAGGAATGTAAATAGTAAGAATCAAGATATATGCTGGCCTAAGGTGATTTTTCTTTAAGTAAAAGGAAAACTAGATTCAAATTCAATTAAAATCTGAAAAGACGTCTTTGGTAAATAACAATCTCATGCATGAGAATTTGGTTCAACTGTAACTGGATATTGGGTTTAAAGAAATTTCTCTCTTTTGAAACTAGGAATATTATTGCCTTTAAAAAATATTGCTTTGTAACTTGCCAAACTTGTTTCTCAAGTTGGTTTAACATGTTTCTGATAGCAATGGGTAATCAATGCTTGTCATGGCCCCCCTAAGATGGATTTTGCAACTCTGGTTTAACGTCACTGATTTATAGCTAGTTTTATAAAAAAGGAGTAGAATTTAATATAAATGTAACTTTGACCTTAATTCAGATAGAGGTATGATACAAAACATCTTCAGTCATCTAGGTGTAATTGCTAAATGTAAATTGGGTAAAGCAAATGAAATAAATGTGTCTAAATATAAACTTTGGTATTCTTATATTCTGTGGGAAAACTTTTTGGGTTTGCTAATATATTTTCATAAATCGTCCATATGAAAATAGTTCAACACTGCTTGAAAATAACTAAGGTTGAAATGTGATGTGTTTTCTTATTTAGAAAATGTTGTCTTAATTCAGAAATTTCTAAAAGATTATTAAGGAAATCAACAGATGGAAAAAGGTCATAGGTAAAAATTTGTTCTTGGCAAGGAAGGTTAAGAAGGGAAAAGACTTTTTTGAATAAAGAAGGGACATAGTTTGTAAGAATTTATCCTAATGGGCTAGTTTACTCCAGACTGTAATGAAAAAGAAATATTCAAGTTGCAAAGGTGTGAAGAAGTCACAGAAGGTTATGAAAGAAAGAAATTTTGGGATGCAAAAGCTATTA